TGGACAGCATTCGAATCGTCTCGCCCCCTCCCCAGCCTTCGCTGCGTATCGCACCGACGAAATGACGAGAACCTTCTGGAATCTCGCGCGGAAGGTATTTAATCGAGCGGCCGAGACGAGAAAGCAGGAGAAGACGGAAGTTAGCGCCAGAGTGCGTAGGGATTCCGCCGTGTAGTCGGCGAAGGTTTTGTCCGTAGGGACAAAGCAGGAGAAGAAGAGGATTTCCACCTGAGGGGTGAAGGCTCGAGCTACAGGCAAGAGCGTGTGTCTAGCGCTATCGAGCGAAGACGCGTGGCAACAGCTGCGTGTGTGAAGTCGACGTGTTTCCGGCGAAGAAGTTTGAAGCTTGGAGAGTGGCCTGTTGAAGACGCGAGGTTTCCTGCAAGAAAAACTTCGGCGAGGTTTCCTGGAAGAGAAACTTCGAGGGCAGCGGAACGACAACAACGCTGGACTTTGAGTGAGTGATTCTCGGAAGAGTATCATCCAGACTTTTGTTCCAAGAACTTTGGACTGAGTAGGTTTCCTATCCCTTTAGTCTTTAAGTGTCTTGGTGGTTCAATGCATGCGACTGCACTGTAGTGTGTATTGTTGTCTGTGTTCGTTGTTTAGAGTGTGGCTCATTGTACTGTGTAGTACGTTGTTTGTTTGGCGACATAATGTACTCAACTATCGTGGAGTGTGCATACTTGTGTGTGGTTTTGATCTGCCATTATTGAGAATATAATTTCGTTTGTTTATCAACTCTCAGCTCTGACTTGTTCTTTGGGCCACAGCCGGCGTCCGCTGGCGCGCCAAAAAGGACCACTTCTAAATTGTCCACGCTTTCGTGGTGCGATTCGGGGGGCCGATACTTCGGCCCTTGGAATTAGCCCGGCGATCGCCTCCCTAATTAACGGGACTTGTGACAGTTGCTGAAAATCCCATCGCGTCGATCGCTGAAGTCGTACGCGATGAAATTCACCAAGCATTGTCTAGACTGGTCCTGATACTCGGCAGTGTCCTATGAGCTACGCTGCCGCTCTTCGATGTGCACCACCCGCTGTGCCGACGCAGTACCACCAGGTGCCCATGGTTCCTTGGTCCCCGCCACAAGAGCAGACACTGCATCAACCACCCACGCTACGGTCATACAACCAGCCGCCCACAGCCACCCCATGGGCAGTGACACCAGGGGAAATGCTAAGACATCCATCGACCTGGAAAACCGATGCATGGCGCACAGTGGACAGACGTCCACTATGCTTTCACTGCAGAGGGGCAGGTCATATTGCCCGTCATTGCTGGCATCGACGCGATTCATTCCGTCCTCATCGACCTTGGTTTGACGGTCGACGTACCAACGACGAATACACACCACGCCGTGACGACACCCCTTTCTATGGAGCCCGTACTCACTTTGAGGATGGTTGTACCACTGCAGAAGAGGCAATGCCTACTCACCCTCCTAGTCTTAGACGTCAATCCTGCTCTCCGTCCCCCGCACGTTCGTCTTTGTCGCACCGCTGCACATACGCGGATCTTAATACAAGAAGGTCACCTAGCCCTCGACGGGAAAACTGAGGGCGGCGACCTCCGGGGGCAAGGTTGCAGGCCATAAATATGACGACAAGAAGCCCCCACAGCATGATGTCGTACAGCCGATAAGCTGTGAAAACAATGAAATTGTGACTGCTGACCTTAGTGTTCTTCTTGACGGTCAGAAAGTGACAGCTTTAGTCGACACTGGTGCCGACTTCTCTATTATCAGTCAAGACCTCGCCGACAGCCTCAGAAAAGTGATGACGCCGTGGACGGGCCCTCACATAAGAACAGCAGGGGGGCCAGTTACTGATGCCCTCTGGAAGATGTACTACAACAGTTGACATCAGAGGTTCTCCTTTCACTGCGTCGTTCGTCGTTATCGCCGCATGCTGCAGAGATGTAATTCTTGGCATGGATTTTTTACGGGAATATGGCGCAGTCCTCAACATACCAGAGAGCTTGATTACGTTTTGCAACAGTTCGGGCTTACCCAATTCTCCAGAGGCGCGACCAAACCAACTGCGTATTTTTGATGACGACGTGGTTCTCCCTCCTAGGTCATGCACGCTTGTTTCGGTGGCCGCCGCTGCTCAGTTTGACGCCGAAGGAGTTGCAGACCAAATAAGCTCGCTGCTCTTCACCCACGGTATTTCTGTCGCACGAGGTATCGTCTGAGTTGCTGCTGCACGCACGGACTTGCTGCTGACCAATTTCAGTGCTGAGCGCCGGCACCTTCCTGAAGGCACGGCTGTCGCTTACTTCGACGATGTCGTAGATGCCGAAGGTTGCTTGGCGGTAGTCGATGAGTCGCTAAATCTTGATTCAGCGCCTCTTCTGGACGTTAGCACTACTTTGCCGAAAGACGACCGACGCAGACTCCTTGATCTACTGGCCAAATTTCAAAACTGCTTTTCGACAACATCAAAAGTTGGCTGCACGCCTCTAACCAGGCAAAATATTCTAGCAATTTACTGTCCTCAATGCAGTAAATCAGATGGATTATTCTCCAATACATTTGAGATGGTCGCCAAAATGGCTGGGACATTTGGCGTGGAATGACCCATTTGGAATGGCAGTGAAAATGCTCGAGTCCCGTGTATTTAGATTCTGAGTGCACGTTAACGAACTTTTGGTGGTCGCAATTAAACACAAGCAGTTATCATTACGGCTGTCCAATATGAAACAGCGCTTGCACAAAGGTGCTTACAGCCGGTGGCGGTGCCGAGCAGCCGTGAAGCGCTCCGATCTTCCAATTAGCACATGACCACTAAGACGCTGTTTTTGTTGGCACCGCGAAGTGTATAATACACCGATATAGATGAAGGTGTAGCTGAGCCTGTATAGTTCGGCAGGACGGCTGTCTATGCTATACAAGCACCAAGACCGACAACTCGTCCACGCGGGGCCGAAGAGTCACATATTGCCTGTGCTAAGCAGCACACTAAATTAGCGCGACAAGTGGCAAAACGCAAGCAAACAAAACGCTAGCTGGCGCTACTTGTTTGGTCGTGTTTTTTCTCCATTGCCACCTTTATTGCATCAATCGCTTCCCACAAACACATACAATAATAACATTTGCCGTGTGCCATTTCACGTTTTTGAAATGTTATATTCTCTCTATGATAGCAACAAGAATTTCTGGAAATGATGCTGCTGACTGCTGACGGGATGAGAGCCAGTCGGGCAATGCCTGTAGCACACAGCCCCTGGTTTCTGGAATTATGGGAATGAGCACACCAAGGGCCGTATACATATGCCGAGAATCGGGAGTGTGTACGTTGTAACTCAACGGAAATGACTTAATAACTTTTTATTGTCCACATTCCATTCAGGAGTAAACAAAGTGCTGAATTGGCAGTGTCAGGACCTTCAAAATGTCAAAAGCCGGTTAATGACATCTGTTTAATTCGTTCATACAAATGAACCCATGTTTTGTTGAATGGGTTGACACTATGTATTTAGATTGCTGCAGCAGGAGTGTTGTATGCACAGTAGATGCAGACAGCATTATAGTGTAAGTTGAAGCAGCAATGTCAAACGTACAAACACACATGTGATACGGAACATCAATTCTTTGTGTGTACATTGACTATGATGAAACTCGCTGCTTTCAAAACATAAAAAGCCTCAACTGTCGTATGAAACATCAGCTTTTCACAATACTTAGGGACCCCACCAGCCCACAATTCAACAAAAACTTTCCTTATTCTTGCAAATTAAGGTTCCCTCAACACTAACTGTAATTTATAACCTGTAAAACAGTAATCTTTACTTTAAAATAACAAAAACACAAAGCAGCCCAGTCAAGTACAGATCCACCCATTAGACTAAATGACCCGTTTTCCACTATCACTTACGACAAAAATGTAAAAAAATAGAAACTCTGACAGGAGTACTTTGAAAAACTTGTTGCTAGGATAGTTGGCACACACTTAAAAAAATTTAGACGCTTAAGCACCCCCAAACACTGGAAAAGAGCTTCATGTTACTCTCTTTCTGTGCTTCGTATTGCGTCGAAGTTTTTCCTCTAAGGTGACAGGAGTTTTAAAAGCCTGTGTTTTCATTCAATCAGGAAATAATTGAGGGTCAGTTCGTTCTAAGGTGACCCCATATTTCGGTTTTTGAGATAACGGAAACGCTGTATTCTGAGTTACAGAGCCATGCTGTGTTAAGGATAACAGAGTTGCCGTGTTTAGTAAAAGACAGATGACGTGCACGTAATAACGGAAGCTTGCTGTGCGTGGTGATACAAAAAATAAATTTCCAAAGCCCTCGTGAAACCGAGCCTGATGTTTTATTCATTACTGAAATCCTCCGGCACCGATTTACCAGCAAGGTGTTCTGTAAACTGAAACATTTTGTGTGACTTGTTTGTATCTTGCACCGTGCCCTACGTGCATTAGTAGCATTACTACGTGCATCGTCGCATGCGCGAATGAGAACTGGGAGCCGTTACCAGCGATTCGATGGTCGTTGTAACACGTCTTCTATACCCTCAAGGAATACATGTTTAATGTCAGAGTTCTTGCGTCCCAAAACGACAATACGAATATGAGATATGTTGTAGGTTTGGGCATTTTTACACCTCTATCTTTAGAGGTTGTAATAGTTCCTAAACACTCTAGCGAGTAAAGAATGCTAGATTGCTGATTAAGTTTTTTTTTGCGTTTTAGTGTCCTTGTCTCGTAGACCAGGCAACATCGGGAGTTGGCAGTTGTATGTGATCACGAGTGTTTCTCGTATATATGAAACGCAAACTTGAGCAGTACTGAGTGACATAGGATGAACGAAGCCTTGATTCCTTTCAATGTAATACAGGAATAAATAAGTTTGAAAATTTGTAAACCACTATTAATATAAACGATAAGCTAGAATGACTTGAATACTTGCAACACGTACCTCGGTATTCTCAGACTGGTCTAATTCCTGATGATAAGCGGAAAAATGAGGCCTTTCTTGAATGAATAAAGCAAGCTCACTTGAGTGGAGTCGGACGTATCTGCTTCTGGTGGCATGTTGAACTTAAATACGTAACAATCAACTATAGCCTGCAGAAAAAGGGAAGCACCTGCTCCGTTAATGTTCTGGTATCATGGTGACGTTTAACTGTCAGTGTGCTTACACAATGTGTCTTATCATATCCGGATGTCACCATCAGTCCTCATACTACGTTGAGTGAGATTTATGGCTGTGGTTTTTTTATCTGACACGTTTAAGAGTACCTGGTATATGTTGAAACGAGTGCAGCTTTTTCCTGCACATGTTTTCAAAATATACGACTGAGCAGTGAAATGAAAAAATTCCACGATGAAAATAAGCACACTCAACATTTGTATTTTTTTTCTCTATAGGCTCTACGATTGCACGTGTTATGGCCAGTTGGAGCTATCATCGGTATAATTTCCATTAGTCACGCATATGTTTCAATAAGCTTGGCGAATTCATATTCTTCAAAGGATCATATGTATTGCAGAGGAAGGGGTAGAGGGTTTGAGAAAAAGAGAGGGAAAAAGACAAAAAGTGAAAGGAAAGCCACTGAGATTAACGAAAAGAAACCTTTCGTTCCTTAACATCTCATTAAAAAAGAGAAAGACAGGAAAATAGAGCAGGAGATTATGGGACGATGACATCAGGTAGTCACAATAAAAATCGCTAAAAATCACTCATCAACATTTTGTGCTAACGAAGTGAAAAAACAGCGCGTAACACAGGACACAGGACAGAGAAGAGACGGACGAGGCGCTGACTTACAACCAAAATTTATTTCGTACAGGGGTGTATATATAGCACACGAAACTTGAAAAAAGAGGGAGAGAAGTCGAGTGACATGAAAGAGTAATTTTTTTGTTATGATTGTATGCGTATAACAAATAAACTGTGATTGCGCAATCATTCGCTTGTCAAATACGCCAATTCCCTGGTGAGGAGCGTTATCGAAGGTGCACTGACACACATATCGCCTTTCTTGATTATGCAGAATGCCTCATAAATCTCACGTGTCCTTTTATCTCTGTAGCGTCGAAGTATCTTGCATTTGTCAAACAATGCACGGCATCCACAAATGGAGCTGTGCGCAGCTAAGTGGCTGCCAACAGATCCCCGCATTAGATTGCGGTGTTCCCTGAGGCGGTCATTTATACAGCGGCCAGAATGCCCGATGTAACAGCGGCCGCAAGAGAGGGGAATTTCATAAATGGCACAAAAACAACATTCAACAAACTTGATTGCGTGTTTTTTATCACACACGCGAGGCCCTCTGTCCTCTCTGTTCACCTGATGGCACATACTAGAGAACTTATTTCTGGCTGAAAAAACAACTCTGATTCCAGCTTTTTGTGCTACCTTTTTTAAACAATGTGACACCTTATGCAAGTAAGGAATGACTGCTGTTCTTGAAAAAGAACTTTTTTCTTGACCACTAGTCGGTTCGGTTAGCTGTTTGATGTCTTTTAAGATACTTTCAGCTATGGAACACAGTATGTTATCCGGGTACCCTGCCTTGCGCAATCTGCGCACCTGTGACTCAAAACTAGTACACAATGTGTGATGGCAAGACCGCATCAGGGCCGCCTTTAGACAGGATTTTGCAATCGCTCGCTTTACAAGTTTTGAATGCGCAGAACTGTAGGGTAGCAAACTTTTTTGGAGCGGGGGGCATACTGCCAGCACACGTGGTCGGACAAAAAAACTTCAATGTCAAGGAACCGGAGTTTGTTAGCAATGGGGAATTCAGTGGTTAGTTGCAGTGAGCCCAAGCAAGTGCGAAACACATCAACAATTTGATCAGCACGTTGCTGAGCTTCAGAGTGGTTGGACCGGTACAAAATCAAGAAGTCATCAACAAATCTAAACACTTTCACGGCGCTCGTCAGTTGTAGGCAATTAATGAGAGATCTGTCATATTTGGCTAAAAGAATGTCACTTAGGATCGGGGCGAGACAGGAACCTATGCAAACACCTTCTTTTTGAATATAAAGTTTGTCATCATGCTTTATAAATGTAGAACGTAAATAAAAGGTCAACATTTCTAAAAAGTTTCTGACGCTAATTCCGCACGAGTCCTGAAATTTGACGTTCCCATAGCGGTCTATGCAGTCGCTCACCTCTGCGCACACCTGGTCCATCGGCAGGGAATAGTATAAGTCTTTTACGTCCACAGAAAAGAAGCTCACTTCTGAAGGGCACTCTTGTTGAAGAAATTCGGATACTATTTGAGGCTTTCTGATGAGGCAAGGGTCTTCCACAGGAAGGACAGATAGGGAACGCTGCAGGTACCTTCCCACCAGGCGCTGCCATGTGCCCTGTTCCGAGACAATGACGCGGAAGGGAACTTCCGGCTTGTGCGTCTTTGCTGAAAAGAACACTGAAAGGTTCACACCCCTCGCTGCTCTCACTGATGACGCCAGTTTTTGAAGGCCAGCCTCTTCACAAAGTTTGCTAGCTGTTGCCTTGACCTTGGAAGGTTTTACATTCGCGACTTGGAAGTTTTCGGTGACAGCAGCGTCCGCCTTTTCTTTGTAGACGGTTGTCGGGGCAAGGACAAAACCGCCTTCTTTGTCCGCCTGAAGGAGCTTGAGATCTGCAGCGCGTAGCGACTTAATCACGGAAGGCTGACGTGATGTTCCGGTTTGCTTTGTTGGCAACAAACAATCCACGCCTTCTTGAATGCACCTGTCTCTATTATCAACAGAGGCTCGTGCCGCCGTGCTCCTTACTAAGCTCAAAAGCTCTACTTGGTCCAATTTTGGTGGCTCGCAAAATTTTGGGCCCTTTTCCAATGCGCTTTTTACTCCAGGAGGGATGCTTGCGTACCCTAGAGTCACAACTTCTTGTCCAGATTGGCATGTTTGCTTCTTTCTTCTTGGCAGGCTGGCAAATATCATCTTCCAAAGAAAATCCGCTGTCCGGGATGCAATACCCAGGTCTCTGCGGTAGGCCCTCAGAGCACTGTTTTGCGATGCATTTCCCATGCTTGCAGCATATAGGCAGTCCGAGTAGAACCGCACTTGTCGCCAGGCCTCCGACCGGAAGATTCGGCATATTCTGTCAGCATGACCCCTTGATGGCGCTAAACCACCAAAAAGTTGAAGAACATCTGGAGGCAGAGACGAATTCTTCAAGGCGAACGTATAAAGACGAGTCCTGCAGATCGCAGTAGCCAGCAGGTTTATACACACAACGGAAGAGCGGAGAAAGGGGTAGGATATAACAGAGCCCGATGTATTAGAAATGAACTGTACTAAAGTGCTTATTTGGGCCGGTTGGTACATGGTCAACGAAGTGAAAAAACAGCGCGTAACACAGGACACAGGACAGAGAAGAGACGGACGAGGCGCTGACTTACAACCAAAATTTATTTCGTACAGGGGTGTATATATAGCACACGAAACTTGAAAAAAGAGGGAGAGAAGTCGAGTGACATGAAAGAGTAATTTTTTGTTATGATTGTATGCGTATAACAAATAAACTGTGATTGCGCAATCATTCGCTTGTCAAATACGCCAATTCCCTGGTGAGGAGCGTTATCGAAGGTGCACTGACACACATATCGCCTTTCTTGATTATGCAGAATGCCTCATAAATCTCACGTGTCCTTTTATCTCTGTAGCGTCGAAGTATCTTGCATTTGTCGAACAATGCACGGCATCCACAAATGGAGCTGTGCGCAGCTAAGTGGCTGCCAACAGAATCCCCGCATTAGATTGCGGTGTTCCCTGAGGCGGTCATTTATACAGCGGCCAGAATGCCCGATGTAACAGCGGCCGCAAGAGAGGGGAATTTCATAAATGGCACAAAAACAACATTCAACAAACTTGATTGCGTGTTTTTTATCACACACGCGAGGCCCTCTGTCCTCTCTGTTCACCTGATGGCACATACTAGAGAACTTATTTCTGGCTGAAAAAACAACTCTGATTCCAGCTTTTTGTGCTACCTTTTTTAAACAATGTGACACCTTATGCAAGTAAGGAATGACTGCTGTTCTTGAAAAAGAACTTTTTTCTTGACCACTAGTCGGTTCGGTTAGCTGTTTGATGTCTTTTAAGATACTTTCAGCTATGGAACACAGTATGTTATCCGGGTACCCTGCCTTGCGCAATCTGCGCACCTGTGACTCAAAACTAGTACACAATGTGTGATGGCAAGACCGCATCAGGGCCGCCTTTAGACAGGATTTTGCAATCGCTCGCTTTACAAGTTTTGAATGCGCAGAACTGTAGGGTAGCAAACTTTTTTTGGAGCGGGGGGCATACTGCCAGCACACGTGGTCGGACAAAAAAACTTCAATGTCAAGGAACCGGAGTTTGTTAGCAATGGGGAATTCAGTGGTTAGTTGCAGTGAGCCCAAGCAAGTGCGAAACACATCAACAATTTGATCAGCACGTTGCTGAGCTTCAGAGTGGTTGGACCGGTACAAAATCAAGAAGTCATCAACAAATCTAAACACTTTCACGGCGCTCGTCAGTTGTAGGCAATTAATGAGAGATCTGTCATATTTGGCTAAAAGAATGTCACTTAGGATCGGGGCGAGACAGGAACCTATGCAAACACCTTCTTTTTGAATATAAAGTTTGTCATCATGCTTTATAAATGTAGAACGTAAATAAAAGGTCAACATTTCTAAAAAGTTTCTGACGCTAATTCCGCACGAGTCCTGAAATTTGACGTTCCCATAGCGGTCTATGCAGTCGCTCACCTCTGCGCACACCTGGTCCATCGGCAGGGAATAGTATAAGTCTTTTACGTCCACAGAAAAGAAGCTCACTTCTGAAGGGCACTCTTGTTGAAGAAATTCGGATACTATTTGAGGCTTTCTGATGAGGCAAGGGTCTTCCACAGGAAGGACAGATAGGGAACGCTGCAGGTACCTTCCCACCAGGCGCTGCCATGTGCCCTGTTCCGAGACAATGACGCGGAAGGGAACTTCCGGCTTGTGCGTCTTTGCTGAAAAGAACACTGAAAGGTTCACACCCCTCGCTGCTCTCACTGATGACGCCAGTTTTTGAAGGCCAGCCTCTTCACAAAGTTTGCTAGCTGTTGCCTTGACCTTGGAAGGTTTTACAT